AAGATAACCTACAAACCCCAAATAGGATAATAGTTAGGAAATAACCGAATCTAAGAGGCAAGCACTGATTGCACCGACTTTAAGGTCACAAGCACTGATTGCGGCAACTTCTTGACAGTCACCTTTGCCGGCATGAGTTTTGCAGGCACAATTGGTGATCTTGCCACCCTCGGCGTCAATGTCACAAGCACGGCTTGGAGCAGCCGCGGCGTAGGCCTCATCTGTGGTGGCCCCACCACCGTCGGTCGCCTCACCACAAGCGCTGATTGCAGCAGCCGCCACCTCACCTGCGCTGATTGCATCCCAGCAGGGCCCCCGAAGAGAGACAGAAGCATGCGCTACATGGTGTTTTTGCCCTTCAGCGGGTCTTCTTTCGAGCACAGGGGTGGGCCCGTCACAACTGCATTTTGGTCCTGAAGCGGATCTTGTTTCGAGCCCTTGGGGGGGCCCGTTGGGGGAGCAAACCCTGAGCCGCTCACTGTGCACGACCTCGGCAAGGCTGAAGTTGCAGCGATCGTCCGCGAAATCCGTGAAATCGTCAACCTGACAGGCGCCACAGGCACAAACACCGCGACAGATAGCGCCAACACTTGCGCTGATTGCGCCACTGCCGTTGGCATCATGACACCCACCCAGGTTCCTCAGAACAAAGGCGTCGCTACCACAGTCAGCGCCAACACTTGTGCTGATTGCGCCACCGCCGTCAGCCTCATGGCACCTGATCAGGTTCCTCGGGACAAAGACGTCACTGCCACCGCCACCAGCCGTCGTAGCACAAGTACTGGTTGCCGCAGCCGCCGCCTCGCACGCGCTGATTGCCTCACAAGCGCTGATTGCACCGCCGCAGCTAAGAGCCGCCGTTTCACACGCGTTGATTGCTTCGTCCGATACTCCTGCCAACCCAAGCAGGACACCGAACTCGCCCTCACGAAACCATGGCATGCTTGGACCAACACCCAAGGCCAACATGCGTTGCTGAGCCATCCGTGCATCAACCAAACTGGCAGCACGTCTAGCCACTATGAAGCCCACCAAGGAGTCAATGGCTTTCATCACACTTGCATCTCTAGCACCACCATGCGCTTCGGATGCACCCCGGTTGCCGCTTCCCAAGCAGCGTCGATTCCTAGGATTGCGCCTCGCTCCAAGAGAGAGGACTTCGCCTGGCTGGCATTTCCAGCTCCATGGTTCGGAGGGCCTGCAGGCCCACAGCCTGAGGGGTAGTCTCGGGCCGTCGTCGTGGTGTAGATGGGTCTCCATGACCCTTAGTCGTCGCTGAAGTCGAAGTCGAGAGGTGGACGCACCACCAGAGGAAGGAGCCATTGCCTGCACCTTCCTACACACCGACAGTTTTAGCCGCTTCTACCCTAAGACGTTGCCCACTTTGGAGCGCGTGGAGCTAACTGTCGAGCCAAAGTTCTTCACAAGTGCCTCATTGGACTTGTTATCCGTATATCCGCGGATGGCAACTCACGAGGTCTTCCTATCCTCGCCCTCGGGGACCCAGAGACGTATCCCCACGAGGGTCGCTAGCAGTTCTAGCGCAGCTATCACTTTCTTGGGATCGCCCTTCGAAAAGGCCCAAGGAGCCCAGGCCCTATCCACTTCTAGCGAAAACCAGGGTCCCGGCTTTCCTTTGGATTTCTCCAGGAAGCCCCCTATCCAGGCCCTATCGGACTCAGCTTTAGCGTCTGTGAAAAAACTCACAGCACGTTGTAGCCTCTCCCCCTGGTCAGGCTTGTCGGCTAGCCACCTCATCAGGACCCGTAGCATCGTCGCTGGATAGCCGCACTCCAAGCATGGAGAGGGCCCAGGAAGGGCCTCTGCCAGTCAAGGGCTATGGTAGCAAACCCCAGCCTTCCGAGTCCCTGTTAGCGGTGACTTTGCCCGAGGTCACTTTGTCGTTTAGCCAGGTAGATAGCCAGGACGCTGCTTCTTCGACATTCCTAGCCTGTGGGAGGAGTACTCCGTCTCCATCCCCAGCCACTCCACTCTATAGTACTCTATAGCCACCACGAGTCTTTGCCCACTTGAAGAGATATCCCAAGGACAGAAAGGAATCCCCTTCCTCCGTCCCTATCCCTGGGGCCTCGAGGTCATCGGCATAAAGCAGGAGGTCGATGGGGTAGTGGGGACCCAACAGGTGATGGGTTGCCCGTAGCCCACATGCGGCTATCCTAGTCCACAAGTAGGTCGCCGGAAGGTGCCCACCTTGTTGACGTAGACGATCTGGCTATCCGGGTCCCCGGGATCGTCTCCTCGGTGTCTATCTGGCAACCCATGAAGCCAAGTTCACTAGCCTGATGCTTGTATCGCCGATGGGCTTTCGAAATATCCCCCACTACCGAAAAGGCAATCTCGCCACATCGGATCAGCTCGCGGAGGATCTGCTTCTTCTCTCTAGCCTCTGGAGCCCGGATCTTATCTCTACAGCGTATCCGGTAGTTCACCCTGACGCCGTGGGTTGCATCGTGGATTATCCTCTTCTTGTCCTTCTCCTCGTCCTCGACTATCACGGCCAGGGAAGCGATCGCCCTGTGCTCGCCAAACCTCGCCTTGAACTCGCCGAGGGTCATCTTCTCCATGAGGCCCTCTTCAACGTCCTCGTCGAACTTAGCCCGCACGAAGTCCCGGTGGTCGCCCACCGAGGAGTAGTTCGGCACCCAGGCTAGCGCCGGCTCCAAGGAGTATTGTCTAGCCGCCAGGACGTCTGCTCCTCGAGCACATGCGGAGTTCTAGGTAGCCCTTCCAGTATCATTAAGGGTATAGGCCCTCCTCGGCCCGGAGCAGAAAGTCCCTATCGGGTCGCCCGCGGCCTCGAGTATCGCCCGCAGCAGTTGTAGCCGTAGGGGCTGTCCCGGTGGAACTTCTAGCAGGTTCTATCCAGGTCTGCAGTAGCTGTAGGAGCTCCTCGTGTAGCTGGCGATCCCTCTCGGAGCCAGCTCGCCGGACCACAATCTCCCGGATCTTAGCTCGTAGCCAGTTCCAGGATTCTCCCTCGGCGTGACCTCGAGCATGCCGTGGCCATCGCCCGGGGGAGCATAGCCCACCACCATTCTCTCCAGCTCTGGCTGGCACGCTAGCCTGCTCCGACTGGTCTGCCCAATTGGCAGACCTATCCATGGTGCCACTATCCAGCCGCAAAAGGCTCGCCCACCTAGCGTGGGCTCTCCTCGATCTTGGTGGGCCGTTACTCCACCTTTGTAGCCAGCAGTAGCCACGGCAGATTCTTTTGTGCAGTGCCCTAGCCGCAACAACACTCACAGTCGCACATGTGCACATGCAGACTAGCCTGCCTCAGAACCTCGCAGCCTATGCCCTAGCCAGGACAACAAGCAGCACAAGTGCAAGAACGTGATTCTCTCCTCTCTCGCACCTCTCTCCCCTTCTTTCTATCCCCCAAAGCCTCCCGCGCCGGAGGGATGGGAAGGAAAGAGTGTGTCCCGAGAGGCACCCCCCCAAGCATGCCCCCCCGTCGCCCTAGCCCCACTGTTCCTCCGATGCGTCCATCCATTCAGTTCGTGAACGGTAGCCCCCAGCCAAACGGGCTGGCCGGTAGTCCGGCCCAGGTCTCTCGTCGCCTGTGTTAGCCTGAGAGGTGTCGCTATCACTGGCCCTTAGGCCAGCATAGCCTGCAAACATGCGTGTACTGGTCGGTCTCCGGTCTAGCCGAGAACTCCTGAAAGTTTTTAAATATCCGGCGACGGCCCATCCAGCCCACTCGCGCCGTAGCTCTCCTGCAAGTTTGTCGGCGTCGGGTTCGCTAGCCTTGCCCGTTCGAAGTGGCCAGCCACCGAGGTCGCCGGCAATCTCTCTCTCATCTAGCTGCTCTTCCCTATCTCGGGCTCTCGCCGCTTCCGCGTAGATGGCCTGGAGTCTAGCCACACGACCACCATAGGATCGGATGTAGGTATCCGAACCCTCGGGCTTCCATCTCCCCAACATGTCTCTATCCGCCGGGGGGATCGGCTTCAGGCTTAGCCCGCTGGGAAGGACTGCTCGCTCACTGTGCTCCGACCAGTAGCCCCTAGCCACGATCGGGATTCCGACCATCGCCAGCAGCCCCGCCTGCAGACCTGTCCTTTGTTGGAATTTGTCCTTTTGTTAAAATTTGCTCTAAGTGCAAATTTCAAAAACAACTTTGTTTTGTACTTTTGGAATTTGTCCTTTGGATTTAAAATTTGTCCTTTGGATTCACAATTTGTACTTTGGAGAAGGATATTGGAATTCGCGTGCTAAACTGCTGGTGAGCAGCCCGCTTTGGTGAAATTGGCATGCTTTGATAAGCGTGCTTCGTGTTGTATTGCCTGCTTCCTGCTTCGGAGACGAGGGCAGCGAGGAATAATATGCGGTAAACGTCCATGTTTCCAGCGCAGTCCAGTCGGGGGGTTGTGGGTATACGCTACTCTCAATTTGAAATTCGCTCAGATATGTTTCTGATGCCAGAACCATAGCTGAACGAATTGTGGAATTAAGGATCTATCTATATATCTGTGTATACATATATATATATGTACATATACACACCCGATTATTCTAAGAACACTGAATGCAATAGATAGGCAATATCTACTGACGGTTTAGCTGAGAATCCAGATCAGCTGCATCGATCTAGTGACAGCTTAACGAGGAGCGCAGCGGCTTGGCAAGCTTTATAAATGTTCTATAGGAACCTGAAATAGTTTGTATAGTAAATACTGCTTGGATTAGGATCTCCACGCCGGAGTGTGCTGGCTGTGACGGGCTGTGAAGCAATCAGTGCGTTGGAGGTCTAGCTTAGGGCGTACGGGGTGACACTGTGATTTCGGGAGTATCGTCTGTAAACAAATTTTGGGGCTTCGCTTGGGTTGGATGTCTGCGTATACTTGCATTGCCGTGCCCCAAAGCAACACGGCTCATGCGTAGCAAGAAGAAAGGGCACTCCATGCAATATGTGCATATGAAATGTAAGCTGCAGAGCTTTATGTTGGTGTTTGCTTCAACACGGGATTGTCTGGACGATGGCGGCCGAAGCAGGGGACACAAGCTATTCCGAGTTGCAAAAGTTCAAGAAGTCCAGTGAGCCGGGCTCTGTTCTGGAGTGTTGGAAGGGATTGGCTGCAGATCTTGCGCCACGCTTGCAGGAAATCGCGAGAAGGTTGTGCATCATATGTGTTCGAGTGACCCAGATTTAGACTTGGGGTCAAACTTTGGGTAGCTCAGGCTCAGTTCGTGATTGCCCCTGATCTGGCAGCAGTCGAATCAGCTCAAGCACAGCTACGCAACGAGTTGCTTCAATCCAATCGTGACGTGGTTCTGGCGCAGCTTGCTATGGTTCTAACTAGTTCTGGCCCTTTTCTTGCCCCTGTACAAGGTGTGATGAGAAGTAAGTTTAGCCGAACATGTGCTGAGGACATTGACTGCGTTTACACAACTGAACAAAGTCTTAACGGTTGACCAGCTCCATCACTGCATCGTGACGAAGTACACACTGAAGGTGCTTAGGCTGGCATCCTTCCTTTTTTTGCATGTAACGGTTCTTGTTGAAACACATTCGTATTATATGCTTGGGCCGCTCAGGGCAACATCGAACAGGAAAAGTTCGCTCACAGCCAAGCGTGTGCCTTGAAGTCGCTAGTTTCTCGGCCATGTATTGCTCAGCAATGTTTGCAGTGTCGCAGTTTTAGGATGTAGCCCGACGCCTGAGGCACAGCATGTTATTCGCGAAACGAAAAAGACGAGCGGAGCCCGCTTGAAATGGATGAAGGAGCTCAAGGCCTGGCCTCAATAAGACCTAGTCACATCTGTGTTGTTCTGCAAAATCGATCATCAAGCGATGCATGACAGGATGCGGTCGGACCTTCCTTGCTGGAGAAGAAGTTTGAGCGCAAGAAGAATAAAAAAGACTCCTCAGAAACAGCATCGCCCGCGAAGCCGTCGGAAGGACCGTCATACATACTGTAGTGGTTCTGAGCTTATTGCATAGACCCCTTGGGAGGAGCGATCCCAAGAGTTCCCTCGCCTTCGGCTTCTACTTTATCAGCGGTAATTGGAACCATAGCTGCAAACCCTCCGTCGTTGGACCCAGCTGATCAGTACAAGGCCAGAATGCGACTGAGAATGAAAACCAATGTCGCAGACAAATCCGAAGCAGCAGGACCATTTCTAATCGCACGGCGATGCGATCGCACCGTAGAAAATTTTCTGTACACACTCACACACCCACACTCTCACACACGCGACCGCGACGCAGGACCCCCTGCTGCCGCTGCTGCAACTGGTGCTGCCGAAGAGGTCTGGGTGTAGGGCCTATTTTTTCAAGTTCGTTTGCGATAGGACGATAGGGGAGTTGGTGCGCAGCATGATTCAACTTGTAGATTTGGGATTTGCTAGTGGTCTGTTGGATGCATTTTGAACTGAACGTTCGTGGTTCGACTCGCTCGCCTGCCTTAGCACTACGACTAGCACCCCAATTCTCAAAATCTGGCGTCGTAGTTTGTCGGTCCAGACAACCGGCTGCTGTGATTTCGGACTGGCATTGAGGTCAAATCCGGGGGATGATCCTATACTTTAATCTAAGCCTAAACCCTAAATTAGCAACTTCTACAACACATCTTGTGTGTCGGTCTTGTATATAGAAGCAATTAATTGCTGACTTTAGTAACCCTATATTAATTAAACATGTAATGTCAGGAATTTAGGCATGTTCTACGCAAATCTAAGCCCAAATTCCTGAACCTTGAGAACCCTAAGCGTAACCCTTAGCCCAAACCCTGAACCCTAAGCCTAACCCCAAGCCTAAACCCGCAATCCCAGATCTGCAAAGCCTATACTAATGGATGGTTATCAGTATTTCGCAGGAGTTGCCCGACAAAGCTGGGTGTGCCGGCAGCGTGGCTTTTGAAATCATCGTGTGTCGAGTGCAGCGCTTATTGTCCTAGCTGTCCTAGCTATCTCAGGCGCTTCTCTGAAGATGTGGCCAACAGATGACAATGTCGACATGAAAGAACCAAGTCTGAAATAAATAACTATTTGTATGCTCACGTTCCAACAATTGCTATGCATAGTGTTCTGTGCAAGGACTACCATGGACATTCCGTCGTCGGTGCAGACGGCTTGCTCACTTCGGCTCCTGGGCACCCGAGCGGCTCAGAATGATCTTATGTTTCGGTTTCTTTTCGATAGGCTCGAATGACTTGCTGCTCCGCTCAACTGCGTCTGGTTGACTTGTTCATGAACCCCGGCCTTATCCTCTGCCTGTGATCACAGCGGCCCGCTGCAGATGCTTCGCCGGGGTTGGGAGGGTTATAGCCTGTTTCGGACATGTTGTTTGCCTCCACCAACTAGCTGTTTTGTCCTGGGCCCTGGGCCTGTAGGGGGAGAGTGCTGAATTCTGCATGACATAATGGTTCAAGCACTTTTATACCTCTTCAACCGAGGACAAGAAGAAGCGCCCGAGAAGCAATGGAGCTGGCCCGCTGTGGAGTGCCATGCAACACTTTATCAAGACCGATTCCTTGTGATGCACTTGAACCGAGCTATCTTTAGGGTTTGTAGTTGCTCATCGGTGTTGCCTGCAGGACAGCTCGTGAGGAGCACAACCTGAGCTACATGGCATCTCTGATGGCATGCTTCGTTCTGTGATTTTACTGAGATATTTTACTGCATTGTTCGAAGCCTGAATGACGATATATTGTCGCTACTCAGGACAGTGTACGGCTCTGGAAGCTGTCTGCGATCAGAGCGCTGCTAAGTCTCAAACTGTTGGATAAACCGCAGAGCCTCCAAAACCCCTTAATTAAGGAATATACCTTAAATCATATTAGGGCTCCTATTATAAGGTATATTCCTTAATTAAGGGGTTTTGGAGGCTCTGGGAACGGTCATCCTAATGCGCCGCAAACAAGACTGGGGTGCTACTGTATCTCCCGCCACACCCGAGGGTTCTCGTCATGGACATTCCCGACAAGAAGCGGCGACGACTATGAGTTCGGGGTTGCTGCTGCAGCCGAAGCTTTTCAAGTTTGCTTCGCAAGCGGCTTGTGATGGGTTGCAGTGTACTGATACAAGCTTCACACAACTCGGGTACTGGTGTGCATTCTCCGAAATTCATACGCTCGTCCTTGGTCGCTTGCTTAATTAGTAATTTCATAACCGGTAGGAGCCAGCCCAAACTTGTGAGCACGGCTAGCTCCTTTACACCCTAAAGCAAAGCCATGGATTCCGCGATCGAAAGGTTTGGGTCTCGTGATCACTTCCGTGCACTAGTATTGGGCTAGGGCTACATGGTTGCTTTTGTCGAAGCATACACATATATGCGCTGGGTTCGCAATCACAACTGGTCTTTCCGCTGACCTTTAGAATGTAGAAAGTTGGTACTGGTTTCATAAAGTAGGTCTTTGTTACCAGTCTTTACGGAAAGGCCATGTGTTGTAGTGGGCCAAGTTTGCTCGTGAAGCCGTGGGCAAGCCTATAGCTTACCCGCACCGATGTCATCACGGCGGGGCGATCAAAGAAAGTGTAAACCACATCCGACATCAAGTGGTTGCCATGATGCAGACATACCCTGTGCCGTTCAGAGTTCCCCATCATTTACAGAGCCACTTCATTACACGTGCAAGACACAATCAGAGACTGGACAATGCCTGTCAATATGAGGGTTTGCAAAGGAAGACGTACCGCCCTTAGTTGTTCTGGGATAGCATGTGGGGTCGAAAGGAAGACGTACCGCCGTTAGTTATTCTGGGCAAGCATGTCGGGTCCTTATCCTCGAGTCCGTCAGCTTCTGGATGCAGGTTTGCCACCTGCCTGAGATTGGTGCCGTGGGTTTGTGTCTTCGTGTTTCTGATCGGTTGAAGGATTGTGGCTCAGGGCTTAGGGTTTGGTCTTTACAGCTACAAGTGTTTTTTTCAGGCAATCCGGCTTAACGGTTTAGGCTTCAGGGCTTGACCTTCAAGTTAAGCGCCGAGTGAGGGGTTATTTCTTGGGACCGGGTTTGAGGTGTATCAGGAAGCTTATCCCACTAGGTTTTTGCGCTACTCGCGACAATCGCAATCTCCTCACATAGTGTGCGCCCGAAAGTCTATCCCAAAATCCCCTAGTCATGTTTCGTACTCCGCAAACCCGGAATAACCCAATAAGTAAACCCCAAACCTTATACAACCCTTAGGCCCAAACCCGAAGCCTAAACCCTGAACCCCAAAACTGGAAACCTTTAGGCCTAAACCCCAAAAGCCCAAATTGGCTCCGCTGCTCGGCCCTTAAAACCGACTGGTGTGCTGATATCGGGTCAGTCATGTTTGTATGTTGCTGTTCTGATATAGAAGTGTTGCCTGTCACTCGACATACATGCATACACATGTCTGCAAATCCAAACAGACGCGGATCTGCCAATATCGTGCAAGCCTCACAGCTACCACGTCCTTTAAAGGGCCTGAAGTATTCCACAACTTCCACGAAACAGCTGAGAGAGCAATGCTTGATTATTAATATGAGAAGCCTGGTTTGACTCTCGACAGGAAGCCTTGGATTTGTTCAGAGCCGAGGCCACGAACACTGGTTGTCATATTGATGATGATGTGCTTCATGGAGTTAGACGCTTGGCAAACACCGTTGTCGCCCATCATAGTGTGTATTGAGTTTGGAACCCGAGTACATACGCATTAATGCAAACTCCAGCAACCCTAAACTTGAAATCTCATATATGAATCTTGAGTGCTCTAGCTCAAACCCTAAACAACACCAAGTACGCTCGATCCGAAGACCTCGATGTCCTGGAATTCTGTGCCGGTGAGGCTGCCGCTTGAACGACATGGCAAGTCTGATGGGATTCAGCTGAAACAAATATGCGTCTTGTTTCCTGCCACCCCAAATATAAGGCGATCAGCAAGTTGGCTTTCGATCGAGGCTTCAGTGTTCGATCGATGGATGTGAAGTATTCCGTAACGAACGATCTCACGTCGCACTGTGGCATGTTGCTTCTCGGATTCTTTTGCGAAGCCACAAGCCCAACATGTGTTCGGAAATCCCCAAACCAAATATGAACGCAAGGCTCGCACTGTCGTACATCCGGCGCTTGCGCCGTGGCGGGCTGATGGTGCTCGCACCAGTCTGTGCCTGGGCTGCTGGGAAGGGAGGAACTTCAGCGCTGCTGCTGCGAAATGAAATAAGAATTAATTCTATTACTAAATTATTGCTACTATTGCTACTATGACTACTACCAACCGCTACCACTTCCATTACCACTGCCACTACCACGACCGCTACCACGACCACTCCCGCTACCGCTCCTGCTGCTGCTGCGACTGCTACTGCTACTCTTGCTACAACTACTGCTCCTGCTACTATACTACTACTACTACTACTACTACTACTACTACTACTACTACTACTACTACTACTACTACTACTGCTACTGCTACTGCTACTGCTACTGCTACTGCTACTGCTACTGCTAC